AGCTCTTAAAAATCACTAACCCACAGGGGACCCATGACACATGCAAAACAGACTGAAAATTGTGTAGTTTTAGTATAGTTCTGTCATGACAACTCTAGGGAGATTGGTATGTTAATAGAGATTGGTATGGTAATGGATATGGCAATGTTAATGTATTTGGTCTTGGCGGAATAGATCTGCTACACTGCACTCCAGAGCAAGTACTGAGACTTGGACTTACAGGTGGAGCTGGGGAGGGGGGGAGGGTTCTGAAAGCATGCTGCAGACTGTTAACAGTAAACAATGACAAGTATTTGAATGTTTGAGCAGCAAGCTCATTGGCTGCTTCTGCAACAGCAACCAATCAGCTGTGCTTTGTAGATAACGACATGATTGCTACCAATAAGTTAAAGACCTATCAACCTGCATCATTCTGTTTAATTCCAGAACTATGTAATTTTTTTCCTGACATTTTTGGCGTAAACACTGAAAACATGAAAATATTAGTTTTCATTATTCATTATTCAATATTAGTTATAATATTTTAATTAAACAACTAATTGCAGTAATAGTAGATCCCATAGTATATATTTCCAATCTCTCTCTGAAATTCGGTTCTTTTCCCACAAATATGAAAATAGCTCAAGTGGTCCCTATCTTTAAAGCTGGTGAACAGAATCTTTATACTAACAATAGGCCAATTTCACTGCTTCCCCAATTCTCTAAAATTCTGGAGAAGATATTCTCCATCAGATTGGATAGTTTTATTGATAAATATGGGATCTTAAATGATAGTCAATATGGTTTTAGAACAAACCGTTCTACATCTCTGGCTTTAATTGACCTGGTGGAAGAATTAACAACCAGTATTGATGATAAGAAGTTTGCTATAGGTGTATTTATAGACCTTAAAAAGGCCTTTGATACAATAGATCACCATATTTTGCTTCAAAAATTGGAAATTTATGGAATTAGGGGAATAGGGCTAAACTGGATAAAAAGCTATTTAGAACATAGACAACAATATGTGCAGATGGGGGAGGAAAGGTCGAAGCTCCAAAATACAATATATGGTGTACCACAAGGTTCAATTCTAGGACCAAAATTATTTATATTATACATAAATGATATTGTTAAAACTTCTGATTTGTTGAAATTTGTAATTTTTGCAGATGATACAAATATATTTTGTGAAGGAGAGAATCTCCAAAATTTGTTGAAGACTGTCTCTAAAGAGTTGGCTAAGCTTAAATTGTGGTTTGACTTAAACAAATTATCTCTCAATATAAAGAAAATTAAATTTATGATCTTTGGGAAACGTAGAATTCCCGAAGATTTAACTATTGAAGTATTGTGTGATAATTCCAGATTAGAAAGAGTCTATGAAAACTCCTTTTTAGGAGTAATAATTGATCATAAACTAAGCTGGAAACCTCAAGTCAACTATATTAGTTCTAAATTGGCAAAGATTAATGGTATATTTTGTAAAGTGAGACACATATTGAACCGAGATACAATGTATATTTTATACTGTGCGCTTTTTCTTCCTTACTTGCACTACTGTACAGAAGTGTGGGGCAATACCTATAAAACCACCCTTAAGACGATATGCACAATGCAGAAAAAGGCAATAAGAATAGTCTGCAATGTTGGTTATTATGAACATACAAATGAACTATTTTTAACATTGCAGGCATTAAAATTTAAAGACATAGTGGATCTTAAGACTACACAAATCATGTACAAAGCTAAAAACAAAGTACTTCCTAGTAATATTAAAAAATGGTTTAAGGAAAGAGATAGTAGATACAATTTAAGAAGGAGAGGAAATCTCTCTCAATCAATGGCACGTACCACACTCAAAAGCATGTGCATATCTGTCAATGGGGTGAGGTTGTGGAATAATTTACCTGTAATAATTAAGGAAAGCAATCATATTGTGCAATTTAAAAGAAGGTTTAAAATGTCTATATTAGAAAAGTATATGAATTAAGGTGGACTTGGGACAAATGTCTCATTTTCTTTTCAAGAGGTTGATTTGAATTACCATACAGTCTGTTTCTTGCCATTTCATTAATATTTATATTATTGTTAGTATTACATTTTGTGTCTTTTTATTACTTTTGTCTTTCTTTCTCATTTTATAATTGTATTGTGTGATTTATTTTTAGATAAATGTACTGCAAATGATCAAGTTTTTTTTTTTCTCAAAAATGATAGATTATGATACTTTGTAAAGAGAAAACAGTAGCCGTTTCAAAGCTAGATGTATAAAAGGGGAAGGCAAATATAAGTTAGCTTCTTCCTTCTCCTTTTTTTTCTATATTTTTTCTTTTCTTTTGAACATGCTGAGATTATGTTCTTATTATTTTTTGTTAAAATATGTTCTGTTACTAATGATCATGTTCTGAAGAGGAAAAAGAAAAGAAAAGAAATAAATTATTCATTCATTCATTCATTAGGGCTATCAATTTTTCGATTCATTTTTCAACTTTTTTCTTCAGTTTAATGAATTAATGCTTTAATGCAATTAATGCAGCAGCAGGTTTTTTCCTGTTATCCTTTGTCTGTCTGTGCTACAGTATAAGATTACACTATCATTCATTCAATAAGATGCAAAAAATAACTAAAATCTCTACTGTCACTCTCTGTGAACAAACACCTGAAATGTATGAAATCCTCATTTTAAATTAGTGAAAACGTGTCAGTATCAGTACTGGTATCAGTGATACTGACCTTCATTCATAGTGCTTAGTAAAAAGATGCCATTAAACAAATATGTAAAATACACTGTCTTTATGTTGTTTCTACATAATTTTGGAGGTTCAATGTGAAAGTATTACAATATAAAAATATATAAAAACTTTAATTTCAGGTGCAATTAATCATGATTAATCCCAAATGTGTGATTACAAATTTAACTGTCTTAAATACGTTTGGTTAAACACAAGACGCATGCAACATAGCACATTGCAACAAGAAGTTATACCCAAAACACGGAAAAATTGTCACATTCACACCTTTCTAACCACATACTGTAAAACTTCAAATAATAGCCGAGTCCCAAATAGACGCCTGTCTCTTTTACACGCCTGGTGTGGCTGCAGGTTTGGGTAAATAAAGGCCGGTCTCAAATAGAGGCCGGGTCTGTTTTTTAGTTTCGGGTTGTATTTAATCCTCTAAAACCGTCAGATCGTCCGCTTTTTGGCGGCGGCCAAAGCAAATTTTCGTCCCTCCAAAGCCTTTTTTGATCGGTGAGTGATGTAGAATAGAGACTGCTGCGCCTGACAGGGCGCGTAACGAGCAGAGAGAGAGAGAGAGAGAGAGAGAGAGAGCGCTCCGGCCGCGCGCGCGCACTCTCACGTCTTCAAACAACACGAGCGCTGTCTTGCTCTCTCTCCCTCGCGCATATTAATCAAAATCAATTGACGCAATAGTAAAAGGTCGGAAGACCGCAGTTTCACATGGAGCATTTGGAGATTTTTAGAGATTAGAGACAGGCCTATACACTCAATGAACAACATCTAAACACTAAATTATAAAGGCCTGTCTCATATAGACGCCTGTCTCAAATACAAGCCGGTGCAGTTCGACGATTTGGGAAAATAAAAGCCCGGGCTACTATTTGAAGTTTTACGGTACTCGGACTGAGCACAAGGGAAACTACACAAAAACCAAGTTTGAGCCAAATCACACATTTCAACAAGAATTTACACCTGAGACAACATGACATCATGACTTTGCGTAAACATACACGCCACTTTCAAGTCAAGTGGCGTGTTATCTCTACGCATTTTGAGCTATCCGCGTGTATGTCCACGCCGAAATCTTTTGCGTGTATGTCTACGCCATTAAATGTCCGAGTGATTCCGCGTGTATGTGTACGCCGTTAAATGTCCGAGCGAAACGAAGCAAAAGCTATATCTAGATCTGTGGAGCGATATTTCTTTTCCTAGGATGGTAGGAGAAGACTCATAAATGGTATTAACCCCAGTGATGGGTAGGTTTAGGGACGGGGTTGGGGTAGGTCATATATCTATATATACATAATACAGTAATATAACGTTTAGTCAAAGGCGTTGATAAACACGCTGAAAAGCGATTATGCGTGTTGATAGCACGCCAAAAATGGAAATACGAATTGGCGTGTCATACATACGCCATTTCATGAGATCAGTCTGCCTGAGAAACAGAATTTTTTCAGATGTCTCCCTTATCTGACCCCTCTATTTCTGGTCTTGGAGTCTCTATTAACGAGCTGATGATTTGGAAGTTGGAAGAGGAGTTTGAAAATGTGTAGTGTTGGTGTGCCTCCATAGCCTGGATGCCAGCCGAGCTTAGCCCCGCCCACAACATTTGAGGTCAGGAAGTTCGGTCTGCTGTGGACCAACTATGCTCGAACCAAAGCTGTTCGGACCAATCAAATTGTCAGGGCGGGGTTTATACGATGATGGACAGATGATCAACAGTAACGTAATCATCCACGTCACCAAAGAGCGATTGGGTTGAATTAATTTACAACAAGAATGGCTGCCGCTGGAGAATTTAGATGTGGAGATTCAGCCATCGCGTCTGTTATAGAAGATATCGACAGCGCATTCATTTTAAAAGAGGAACAGAGAACCTGTTCAAGGCATTTGTCGATCCAATTGAGTGCAGAGGCATTTTGTTTCCTGGTTCGGTTGAAACACGCCCCATAATCACAGCCCAATGGAGCAGTATCAGACTCACATGCTGACTAGAGTCTGAGTATGACGATGTCAGGCTAGTGCCTCCAGGAACAGGGTTGGAAAACACTGCATTAAAAGACTACAAAATTACTAAAAAAAAATACATTGTATCAAATGAAGGACATCCTCAGTGTTTCTAGAAGAGAAGAGTTGGAAAATAATGTGTTACCTTATTCAAATATGCTGAACAGCCTACATTACATACAGTAAAATTGGAATATTTCAGTAGTTGAAGATCAGACATGATGTGCATATAAACATTCTGTCTCTCTCTCTTTTATTTTTTAACAGAAGCAAAAGCAGAGTTGGAGGAGTTGATGACAGATATCAAGAAGTTGGCTAATAAAGTGCGCTCCAAGTTAAAGAGTGAGTCCATCATCCTCAAAAACATGCATTTAAACTGCAACTATAGTCATGTTACACACAGAAGCATCAGAGAAACCATTACCACATGACTTCAGGGCACTCTCTCTTCACCTGTGAGTCACACACAGCACTGGCTTTGTTCTTAATACTTGTGAGCTGACTTACTAAAGAGATGAGTCTTTGGTTTAAAGTTAAACTCTCTGAATCCTGAACTGATATTTTCTGATATTCTGGGTATCATTAACTGGCCATAATTTTGCGATTGCAAAGAATTTGATGGACTGTAGTGTGATAAGAGCTTTACAAGTAATTAGCAGTAGTTTTAATGTGTCTGAAACGCAGTAGACAGCAAATTTAGTGAAGCTTCAGCTGGTTCAGTAGCTAATTCAATAACCCTGAAGGAAATTCTCCAAGTAATGCATTACAATAATCTAATCTTGAGTCATGAACACATGAATGGGCTTTCTGGCATTAGAAATAGAGAGCCGGTCATATCATTAGCATTCAGCGATTGTGGTATCATATGATGCATCTCTCCCACAACATCATGGCACTGATAGAAATACACACAATAACACATTCCAGAGGGATTTGGAACAAGTTTGGTTCTTATTTATTGATCAGTACTGTCTTTAGAGCATGTAAATGAATAACCACAGGGATGTCTCCAATTTTTTTAAGGTATCCAGCTGACCATAGAGCAGGAGGCAGTAAACAGTGAATGCCCATCAGCTGATCTGAGGATACGGAAAATACAGGTGAGACTCTGCATGCCAACACGTCAGTCTGCTACTCACTGATGACTGGCAGATACATGTGGGTTTGTGTACATTACTATAAGTGGACTCTGTTTTTCAGCACTCCACCTTGTCACGTAAATTTGTGGAGGTGATGTCTGAATATAATGCAACGCAATCAGATTACAGGGAACGCTGTAAAAGACGGATACAGAGACAGCTGGAGATTAGTGAGTAAACACACACACACACACGTGAGCCAGATGTATGTTCACTGAGAACGTAAGGGAGGAAGTGCCTCCTCAAAAACGTTGGATTAGAAAAATAATCAACGGTATAAAAAATAAAACCAAATGAATATTATGCAATATGAGATTTATTAGCACTCAGAAATGCTTGATTCAGACATTGCAAAATTCCAAGGTCAGTTATTCCTCGATAATACATCATATACATCGCTGCATAATAACCGCTCATCTGAGTATTTGATACTGGCGCTTCTTTCATGTGTCTTGTACATGAATGCTGACTAGAGACATGATTGCTTTATTTGATGAACAGTTTAAGTGTTGCAATTACCCCGTGTCTATGTTCAAGGACTTTTATTTTTGTATTATTTTGTCTTGATGTGCCTGTGTTCAGTCCCTGTGGGTTAGTTCCTATTTCCCTTGTTTACATTTCTGTCTTGTAAGTTTGCATATAAACCCTTGTTAATCTCCATGACAACTAATCACCTTCACCTGTCTCTCGTTAGCCCCTTGTCATCTTGTGTATATAACCACTCTGTTCATTCACTCAGTTATCTTCTGTTCATTGTCTTGTGCTAACATTTCAGGCTGGTTTTTCCTCTGTATTATTCCTAGTGTTTATTAAATGTGATGTGATTTCATCGTTCTTCTGTGTTAAGCCTTTAGATTAGCCGTTAAGCCGTTAAAATTTTGGATCTATCAAAGCAAGACAGTGCGTGACAGAACACAATACCTTTTTAACAAAGTTCGGGAGAAGCACATTCAGATAATCCACCCAATTAGTGCGAGAGGAGGCGTATAAATATTTAGTAATTGGAAACCGAGGCTTTCTGAAGTTTCATTAAAAATTGTGCCGAAAAACGGTTCATTACTCGAAGCTTTTAACACAACACGCATTAGCGACATCTTGTGGTCAGACTTGTTTTCTCCACCATATCTAACAAATCATCGCGGAGCAGAGGATATACGGTTTGAAAAAACACGTGACCGAACAAAACTTCGGAATTCTGTGACATACAAGAGTGGAACCAATCTGGGATCAATACAGTTCTATCTAATCTGATCTAAACTCATCTAAATTATCTGATCATTTCACCCAGTAGCCTGAAGCTAAGCAGGGTTAAGCCTGGTTAGTACCTGGATGGGAGACTCCTGGGATGAAGGGCTCTATCCCTCTCTCTGCTCTCCACCTGTAGCTGGTGTGTGGTGAGCGCACTGGCGCTGTTGTACTGTGGCTGCCGTCGCATCATCCAAGTGGATGCTGCACACTGGTGGTGGTTGAGGAGAGACCCCCTGATATGACTGTAAAGCGCTTTGGGTGTACAGTAGCAAATAGTAAAGCGCTATATAAATGCCTGATTTCATTTCATTTTCAATTCAATATGTGCCAATGAGACCGCAACTCGTGTCATGTGTAGCCTGGTCAATGGATTCACTTAGGCCCCATTTAGACTGCATGGTTCAAGTGACCCAAATCCGATTTTTTCCTCTCATGTGAAACAGATTGGATATGACCCATGAACGTGTAAGCAGGAAAAAACCGCATGGATTCCGATTTTCTCAGATCGGATTCAGGCCTCACTCATATGTGGTAATAAATCGGATATGAATCGGATACGTGCATTTGCGTGTGCCATGTAAGCAGACAAATCGGATATTCCCCAGTAAATGCGAGTCGTACATCTTTAAAAAAGTGACATCAACTCAGGTGGACACCACCAACTGAGATCACATGACTTATTATAGGCGCGATGGAGGACGAAGGATACACACAGTGGAGCAATGCGGAGGTTTCATGTCTTTTGAGTGTTTGGGGCGAAGAGACAGTGCAGGCCAAAATGCAGGGTTATTACAGAAATAAATCCGTGTTTGAAGACATTTCACGAGATATGGGGAGGCAACAGTGCCAACAAGGGCTCTCCTCTTTTTTCTCCGCCGTACGAGACCAATGTTTTGCTGACTTTTTTGATGACTTTTCAAAATATTGTGGAAAGCAAAACACTGGATAATTTTATTTGCATCTGCATCCATTGCATTTCTTGCTGTTTTACTTCCTTTTCCGGGTCAGAACGTCTACATTTGGTAGTTTCAGCAGTGTATAGTGTAAATGCAAAAATCGTATACGGGTCACTTTTAAAAGATGATGTAAGCGGGTCGTCGAAAAAATCGGAAATAGTCAGAAAATCGGATTTGGGCATCAAGACCTGCAGTGTAAATGCAGCCTTTATGAATAATGGAGTCTTTTTTTGTCAGGGAATGTACTTTGGGTGTAGATCGCAAAGGCCTTAATATTTATATTCAAAAACAGAATCTTTTCCAGTGTGTTGGGGTTCAGTTTTTGCTGATTACTTATCCAGCCTTGGAAAATGCTCTCTCACATGGGACAGAGGATACAGGTGTACACAAGTAGGGTTTAGCCAGGCCATGGATGTATAGATACTCCATCTTCTGTCTAGACCAGTATTCAAGTGGATCAACACAACGTGGCAGAATGGGGTCCCTACGGTATTTCTGTACTTCCACTGTAGCGTCTGCAATGTTGCCAATGTTTTTCATCGCAGTCTGGGCACAGGTGCCATTAAGAAAAACAACCATTTTAAAACGTGGGTCTTAAAGTGTTGCCAGAGCAAGGCAGCTCTTTTGTGTGACAAACCTCTCATTCAGTTGTTTGAGCACGTTTGCAGCCAGTCGTGAGCCCATATCTGATGTCATTTGGGTACTCATCTCTCGAATGGATGTTTTCAACATTCAGATCATTGGGATCACTTTGGATCCTGACACCCTTTTACCCTCTGATATTTCCACCGTGGCTTGGTGGAAAGGCCCAAGAATCCCAAGGCACTTGAAACGGTGACAGTCTGTCCTCGGCCGTGGTGCTGGATCTGAAGTGACCCATGATCTTGAGCCCTAGGGCAGTGGTTCCCAAATTTTTTACAGCATGCACCCCTTTCTAGTGTTTGACACCTGTCAAGCACCCCCCAACACCTTACTCTGGTTAAACTTCACATTTTTTATTGCAATAACTAAATACAAATATTCACTGTAGATTATAAAACATAAAAAAATTCAGCTATAAATACAAAAAAAATTACTATGACCTTTTTTTTTTGTTTTTTAGTCTTTGTCGATGTTTAGTTTTCAACAATGTCAGTGCAGAAAAGCCTTTCTCGCATAAGTATGTGGTTGCAAAGGGCATCAACACTTTAAAGGGGTCATGAACTGGCTTTTTAAATTGTTTTATATTGTTGTCTGAGGTCAACATATGACGTTCGCTTGGTTTTTACATTCAAAAACATCAAAATGAATAAGTAATAGGCTATTTTCTACCCTAGTTTTGAGCCTAGCTCAAAAACGCTCGGTTTTTATGGGCGTCTCGCATTGAAGACTTGGAAGTAAACGCCCACTGCTGTGAGTGGATAACAGTTTTGCATATTATAATGAGTTTCGTGTAATGCGCGAATCGGTGGGCGGGGCTAAACCGGCCGTGTTGAAGTAGGCGTTGATCTTCTTCTGCGGGGGTGGTGTTTTATCCTCTTTGTCGTCATAGTTCCCCACTTTGAAAAACGAGTCATTTGCTGAGCCTGGTGTCAATAAAAGCTTTTATTGGACTAACAAGGACGTTTTCAGTTCTGAAACTTACAGGATATTCTTATAATTTGATGACCTCTTAGATGTCTAAAGCTGAAGGAAAATTTGATTTCTCAGTTCATCACCCCTTTAAGTGCTTGCTTTTGACAATCCTGGATACTCCACCATTGCTTAAATCCCAGAAATCCACCAGTGACTTATTTTTAAAAAGTATGTTGTGTCTCCCATCAGATGATAACTCCATTAACTTTTCTATTGAAATGAGAGATGTGGGATTGGAGGAGTGACATAAAAGGGATTCCGAATCCATGTCTGAGATTGGTCCATAGGGGGGAAGTAAGTCGGCAGATTTTGGCTGAGCTGGTTGAGATGTTCAATTATGAGGCTTTAGACACAATCACTTAGCACAGATTCAAGGGATTGCAAAAATTCAGATAGAAGAGGAAAGTGGAGTCCACTCAGTGGAGTTTGTATTTATCCAGATGGCCCAGAAAACAATCTTTTTAATAAGTGCTTCAACATTGTCCTGGGTGTTGAAAAAGGTGGTAAAAAGACCCAGCAGACTTAAACTAAGTTCATTCAGAGAAGAAAATATGTCTGCCAGATATGCCAGCTTCTGAAGCCAGATGTCGTCTTGCAAGCATGATGACAAGTGAAACGGATTGTGAACAAAAAATTCCTGAACTTCACATCTGAGCTCAAAACTCCTTGCTAAGACCTTTCCATGTGATAACCAGCGCACTTCTGTGTGCAGGAGAAGTGTTTCATGCTCGCTGCCCATTTCGTTCCATATAGTGCGAAAATTCAGTGAATTTAACGGACGTGCCTTGATGAAGACGACGATTTTCACTATGTCATGAAGTACAGACAAAAGTTCACCTGGCATGTTTCTCGTTGCTAGGGCTTCTCGGTGGATACTGCAGTGCACCCAGGAAACTGATGGTGCAACTTTTCGGATGAGAGCCACTGCTCCTTTGTGTCTCCCCTTCATTGATTTCGCCCCGTTTGTACAAACTCCAACGCATCGCGCCCAGTCAATTTCGTGTACTCTGAAAAGCTATCCATCAAATAAAAAATATCTTCCCCTGTTGAACATGTGACAAGGAGACGGCAAAACAAAAAAATCTTCAAGAACTGTGTTCTCAAATACATAACGGACCTACACCAGAAGATTAGCTAGATTCGCTACGTCAGTAGACTCGTCGACTTGCAGTGAGAAGAATTCACAGTTTTTTTTAGCTGACTGAGGATGTCAGGAAATATCGAATCAACACGAAGAGCCACAGTATTGTCAGAGAGAGGGATTTTGTCCAGCGTCTTTGCTGCTTTCTCCTCGAGCATACAGTTTACCCTGTCTTTGGCAACAGGTAAGGCCAGATTTTCTCCAATTGTGT